AATTTTAAGACATTTTCTCTCAAATCGGAGAAGTTTTGAGACATTTTTTCCAAAATCGAAGAAGTTTTTGGAACGTATTCTCACCAACTCGAAAAATTTTGAGACATTTTCTGCAAAATTCAAGAAATTTTGAGATATCCTCTCACCAACTAGAGAATTTTTAAGATATTTTCTGCCAAATTGAAGAAATTTTGAGACATTTTCTCCAAAATTAGAGCAATTTTGGGACATTTTCTCATTGACTGGAGAAATTTTAAGGCATTTTCTACCAAAATGGAGTAATTTTGGGACAGTTTTTCTCAAAATCGGAGAAAGCTGCAGTCGAACTTTCCAAAGCAGGGGGGGGGGGTACCCTCCCCCAACCCCCCCCGCTCGCGCCGCCCCTGATCATTTAGTATAGTTGTTTTTAAAGGGTTTCTATCAAAATTTTTCGAGAAAGAGAATTTTTTCCTCAACACAAAAAAAGTTCAAGTATCCCCGCTATACTTTAAGCAAATGGATCGATTTTTCATCGCTAATAAACGAATACTTCTAGTTTCCACTAACAAGAAAAAAAAAACAATATTTTTATTCGTCTGACCACAAATAATGAGTACACCACATTTTAAATCAATACTCTAGATTAGACCTGTGACAGCTTACAATTCTATGAGCCGATTCTTTTTTCAAGAACTGGATCAAGTAATCAATTCTTTTCATATGAATTATATCTATTGATAATAGTAATATATCAATTTTATTCAGTAATTGTCCTAGTTGTCAAAAAAAAAGAACTAGTCTTTATATCTAGTTCTCAAAACAGAACAGATTTGTAGACCTTGAAGCTGTCACAGTTAGATAGAACATACTTTTTCAACCAGATGAAATGAAACGAATGAATAATTTATTGAGTAAAATTAGAGAATCTATACAACAATAAGAAAAAGAAGGATTCAAAATGATCTTCTTCTTTATTGGAAGATGTATCTTTTGAAAAGAACTCGCAGACCTACTCCAGATGATTGTCCTTTAATTCTAAATTTCTGCTATAAGTTTATGTTTTATTAATAAGTGGAATCTTAAAGTTCTACTGATAAACAAATGAAATAGTTATGTCAATTCTTTAGAACATCCTATTAGTTTTCATAACATATTACAGACTGTCAATTGATACTTATGTCAAAAGTAATACTTCAAAAATAGTATTTTTCATTGTTTTGCTTGTAAATGTAAACTATGACACAGATACTTCGATTTTTCTTTTCGATAAACTAACTTTTCAGTCATCGTGTATAATCAGATTTTTTAAACAAAAGTAACTATAAAATACGGCGCGAATATATATATATATATGTGTGTGTTCTCATGAATTGTAGTCATCGTCAACATCAATATCAATCCAATGATATTATCTATCCAAAAAAGAATTCTCTACTTAAATATGAATCTCCACGTCTAATTGTTAGTCATGATATTTCAGATACAGATTATAAAAAAATTTGTCGAGCAACTCTTTCTCCTTGTTTTCAACCAACATCACTCTATGATACTAATTTAAATCTTTTTGATCCATATTCAGATTTATGTCGACCTGCAGATATACTTGATTTTCTTTTTCCACCTATTGAACATATTGATAAAAATAATCATAAATATGTATGTTATATTTTTTGTTCAAAAAAAACCAAACATAAACAATTGAAATTCAATTTTAAATCTAGATTTTATGTGTATCACGTCATCCAGCAACAAAAACAGATGTTTATAATTTAGAAAAACAACTTAATCGTCGTTTAAAACAATCTCAAGCTCTTGAAGTTGGTTTATGTAATCATCGTCGTATTATATATAATGAATGTTTTGATGAACTTGTACGACAAATAACAATTGAATGTAGTGAACGTGGTATTTTATTATCACGTATTCGTAATACATATCGTCAAATGATGAATGATTATTTAAATAATTATTTAAGTGCAAATGCATATGCAATGAGAACACTTCTTCTTAATGAAGAAATTAAAATTAAATTAAATAATCAAATTGATCATTTACAATATGATATTGAACAAATACGAAAACAATTAATTAATACTGAAGATCATTTTGAAAATATTTTAAAATTACATTCAAAATTTAAATCATTAAATGAATATCGATATCAAACAATTAATATAATTATACCATTTGAATTACAACAATTAAGAACAACAAATAAATTATTAAAACAAGAATTAGAAAATATTTTATTAAAAAAATTAAATATAAATCCATTGGAAAGAATAAATAAGAAAAATGAAGATGAATTAGAAAATATTAAATATGAATAAAATAAAGTCTATTCGATATTTCAAAATAAAATAATGATTTGCATTGAAAGCAATTTCAAAGCTGTGCATCTGAGTCAGTTAATGAGAGAAATAACCTCTGTTCGAACTCACATGTGACTGATTGTTAGAGTTCATTATGTAGATACTTTTCTCAAGATATTGCGAACTCAAAAAAAAAAGCAGGATTTTGTTCGAATCTTATACAAGAAAGTAGCGTTTTTTCAATTCTACCATCTTGAGATAGAAGCATCGATTTTTTGTTGAAGCTTTCAGGATATTCTAAGGATCATGAGATCTATTTTTGAGTAAAATTTCTGACTAAAACTTCTTGATCCAGTTTCTCTCGTAATATCCTGCAGTAGGCTGAAAATGATTATACTTCAAGAAGAAAATACTAATGGTATGTATTCTTTTAATAGTGTCCTGCACGGATACGACTTTTGGCAATCGAACTCAGACTGGCACTTTTTTTTGTTGTACCTGACCGGAGCTAATCAATATCCGGCAGATACTTTTGCAAGGATTTCAAACTTTTATTTTTTTTTTATGAAAAAAAATACTATTTAGTTTCTTCTATAAAGAGCAGCAGAAAAAAAGAGATCGTCTGAAATTCAACAAAAAAAAACAAGTGATTCAGGATTCGCTTGGTGTCTCTCTACTTCTTAAATCTGATTAATTTCGTTAAATATACGTTTGTTTGTTGCTGATGACGCTGGTATGGAACGCGATATTGATGCCAAACATCATAATTGTGGATACATACATGAATGCTTTTTCTATTACAATAATATATGTTTACCTTTTTGATAATTCATTTTCCCCTCTCTATGTATTCAATTACTTTATCATATTGCTTACTATCACCTCTAGATGAATTTTCATTAAAAAACAAATTCGTTTATTAGAACAATGTCGCTTTCCATTTATGTGACCTATTCTCATGTACAATAAATTGCTCAAGTTTTCACTCATATGCTTTTATATAAACAATAGTTTGAACAAGTAAAAATATTTTGAAACGTCGAGCTAACAATTAGAAAAATATAAGTTCGAATGAAGGTTATCAACTGGAAGAGGCCCCTTGTAAATTTTTTTTATTCATGAAGTACATATGACATTAAAAGTATTTCGGATCGTAAGTTTTATTCTTTCGTAATGATTTAAAAAACTAGTATGTTTTAGAAATTCGATTAATGTCTCTTTCAGACCTACACAGTCATGAAAATAAAATCAGAACCAAGGTCGGCTCTGATTTTAACCCGGACTTTTTTCAACATTTGTAAAGTCTTAAGGAAATGTCAATCAAACCATTAAACTATATTAGTTTGTACAGTGAATATTAACTACTAAAATATATAGTTTTAAAAATTTCTACTGTTAAACTTATTTTACTAATTATTACTTTGAAACGACTCGAAAATCGACTCTAATGCAGATTTCTAATCTCAAACCATTTATATCTCTCATATTATAACAAGTTAGACAGAATAAATGATATAAAATGTTTCTATACACATTGAACATTCATTTTTAATAAAAAGATAACAATCGGCAAAATTCAATATTTTCTAAGTTTAAATACATTATTACTCAAATATAAACATTTATGTTTTATAACCATTATTTCTTTGATCATTTTGATATATTAAATTGATAGACTACCATATGAGAAACATTTCTTTAATAAAAATTTTCTATTCTCAATATAATCCTTTTGATTCAAATTTATATTATGAGATAACTCTCAAATGTTATCTATTGATATATCTAGTAGCAATTTACATTGAATTTCTCACATCGTTCTAATAAAGCTCATTTAAAAAACAAGATCGCCTATTCCTTCTAACTTATAATTTTCCATATTTGCTTGGGAAATAGTTATAAAATACGACGTAATCATTACAATCGAACATCAAAAACAGGCATCTTTATGGTTCATTTACAACCGTGTAATCTATCATCTGGTTTGACAAATCATACTTTCTTTTTTAATTAAAATCATCGATGTCTAATCTAAGAATGAATATTTTTGATAACTATAAAAATTAACGTCCATCTTGAGAGAATATATATATATATTTATAAACGATTGATAAACGTGCTCTGATCATTCGCCTCACTTTTTATGAATATCAATATTTACCTATTCTTTTCTTTTATATATATATATATCAGTTTGCGAATGTAAAGATAAAACAATGAATTCATATAATAAAAAAAAAGTTCGTTTATTGTCTAAAGAAAATGATTCGATTAAAGTTTTAAACAAAAAGAAAATAAAGAGAAGCTTTTTTTTTTTTATTAGAAAAAGTAATGAGATATTTAATATATATTTGTTTTCAAGCTGATGATCATGACAAATCATTGAAGCATAATGTTTGTGATTTATCGGTTATAAAAAGACAGGAGAAAAAAAAACAGAAATCTAATCAAATCAATTGATGATCGACCGTGCGAAAGGAGGAGCGTATTCATCGGACTAGAAAATCATTATTTCGTTTGAACTAATCTTTTTCTTGACAAGAAATAAAAAAAAAAGACGGGAATCAATTCATTTTCGATCTCTCTTCAAAATTTCAATCGTTTAAAATGAAACAACAAAAAGAAAAAAGAAAGAAAAGAAAAGAAAAGAAATTTATCATTTCTCTTATCAATGTAAATATTGATTTGAACCAATGAGAACATATTCTTATCTTTCTCTCTTTTTTAACCTACTTGAAAACAAAAAAATTAAAACAAAATGATTAATTAGTGATGCACATATAGTGGAATTTTTAAAAAAAAAAAACATAACACAATTTTACGCTGACGAGAGTGTGTCATATATATACATAGGTGACATCGTATGCAAATGTCTTCTCCACTTGACTATTTTGAACAATAGAAAATAATCATCATATATGATTGACAGTTGATTTTTTAATTAATATATTTCTGAATATTGTAAGAAAACAAAAAAAAAGAAAGAAAGAAAAAAACTGTACAAAAAAAGAAGAAAAAAAAAACGAAATCCTTCTTCTTTATGGCCATACACTTGATGGCCAAGCTGAAGTTGGAGCAGTTTGTTGTTGTCTTAAACAATTTTCATATGAATTATGAAATTGTGCATTTGCTGTTGGATATTGATGATGATGATGATAACCAATAGATGACATATAAACATTATATGCTAATGGATCAAACGTTGATGATGAATTTGTTGTTGATAGAGAACCTGTTAGAGTTGCATCATTAAATGTTGTACCATATGGTGAAGATGTTGGAGATGATGATGTTGCTGGTGGACCATAAAGAGATTTACCATCTTGTACAAGTAATGGTACAGGTACACGTCGGATTGGTTGTTGTGTTGAAGGTGGTGGTGGTGAAGAATTATTTGGATCAAAACAAAGATCTGTATAAGAGGAAGCTGTTTTAGAAGGATTGTCTTGTTTAGCACGTTTAAGTTTATAACGACTAAGAAAAAAAATTTTTTTTTATTTTTTTTATGAAGAATTTCAATGATTAAAAAGAAGTACATACTGATTTTGAAACCATATTTTACATTGATTAGCTGTTAAACCAATATGTTTAGCTAATAATTCTCTTTCAGGTGCTGATAAATAATGTTGAGCATTAAAACGTTGTTCAAGTGTAGCTATTTGTTGTTTAGTAAATAAAATTCTACGTTTACGTTTTTTTCCAACATTTGATATATCATTTGATTTAATTCTTTTATTATTATTATTATTATTATTTGTTATTATTTGTGTTGGTGATGTACGTACTAATGTTTGTTGTTCATCATTATCTAAAATTTTTGATGATGATGATGATGATGCTGTAGATATTGAAGAATTTTTTTCTTCATTTATTGTATTTAATTGAGGTTTTATTGGTATTATAGATGATGTTGATGGTACACAATGAACAGGACTATGATGTGATGGTGTTGTATTAGGTATATATGGTTCAAGTTTTTCACTTTTAAATTCACTATTTAATGGTGACATTGAATTACGATAAGCTGCTGCTGCAGCTAATGATGAATATGTCGATGCTGAATGATGATGATGATGATGATGATGTCTATCATAATTTGTTGAATAAGAATGTGGATAAAGACCAAAACTGTTCATGTCTAAAAAGACAAAACGAAAACAAAAAATAAAATAACTAACATGTTTATGAATAAATTAAATCGACAATTTTATGTTTTCTATTTTAAACGATTGACATCCGCCGGTAAGATCAAGCAATATCCGGACCGAACACAAAAAAAAATTTTAATAAACCTCAAGAAAATATATAATTGTTGGTTAATTATTTTCGATTGATCTTTTTCTTGGGTTTTTGTTTTCTTTTACCTGGAAAATTTTCTGCACCCATCCATGATGGTGTTGGAGCATAGAGTAGTGGATTTTGATAAGCAGCGGCTGCTGCTGCCGCTGTTGATGCTGTACCAACTAAATCGTGTTTGATACCGTTCATCATGTTTGATTCCTTAAAGATAGATTAAAAACAAAAACAAAAAGATAATTTAAATAAAAAACTCATATGAAAAATAAATTGAAAAACTTGGTTTTTCTTTAAAGTCTATACCATTGATCAACATAGTCGTAGAGATGTGTATGCTCATCATTGTTGATAAAAAAAAAAATGAAAAATGCATTTGTCCGTTTTTTCCTTTTTTTTTCTTTTTTGTTCTTTCTCGTCTATCTTTTCTCCTTCTCTCTAGATTAGAGGATGCCGCACATGAGGGACCACTCCAACAGGCTGGTTTTCAAGGATCGCTACTCAAATGGGCACTTGAAAAAAAAAAAGGAGGAGAAAAAGAAGAAGAAGAAAAAAAATGAGATGACGATTGTTACGTACTCGTCAACGTACGAAGAGCCACTCGTTATGTTGAAGGGATAGCCAATCTCGAGTGCACACCGTTTGTGTGTTGTGCACACAAGTTGTTATTGTTGTGTATGTGTCTATGCGTGTGTGTGTGCGCGCACCTTTTTTTTCTCGTTTTTTCTCTTTCTACGATTTTTTTTTCTTACTTTCAGGTAGATAGCCTCAGGAGAACTTTATCTACTTGGTCAAATAAAAGTAAAAGAGCGAGAGAGAGAGAGAGAGAGAGAGACAGAGGAAAAAATATATGTGTAGAATGAATAACGAGCACACACACACACACACACCGTCTCTGTGTAATCTGCACTTGAACAAGAATGAGGGAGAAAAAAAAAGAGAGGCCTGTCAAATTGATTTCATCGTTGGTATCATATGCAAATAATGGAGCATTTCTCTCTTTCTTTCTCTCTCTCTCTGTGTTTCTCCTTTTTCTTTTTCTTGCTTCGAAGTTTAATCACCATACAATTGACTTTACATTCACATTTATGAATTATTCCATTCATCATTGACGAAATACTAACATTAAACCGTATGAGAAAAAGAAAATGACACAAAAAAATCCGATTGGTGTAAAATTCGATCGAGAAAAAGAACCAATAAGAAGTTGTAATTTTTATTTTTCAAAAGAATAGTTTTACCTGTTTTTTTTACCCATGACATAGACTAATAAAGGGTTAGTTGTAAAGTTTTCCTCGAGAAAATTTTAGATGATTAAATTCTAGATTTTAAGAATAAATTAGAGTTCTTCTTTTTTTCTTGCAAGTTTAGGGATTCAGTTTGACAATACTCAAGTGTTTTTAAGAAAAAAAAAATTGGCAAAATGCACAGAAAGAATAATAATAAATTTCCTTGTGTACGAGTGTTTCATTAAACCTTATATCCAATTCAAAAAGTCAAAAATTCTATTAGCTTTATTTACCATTTGGCAAATGTTTGAAATTACGATTCTTTCAAAAAAAGAAAGATGAGGAATTACAATGATTTAAGACTCTAATAGATTCGTTTGTAACTAATACTTTTTAGACTGAGTTAAACTCTATATAATCATTGCTTATATAGATATATTTTCGATAAACTTTGTCGTCATTGGTTAACGGATTTTTTTATTGTTTCCTATCTTGAAAGATGTTCTATTAAATTGAAATGTCACTAATTACAAGGTGTAAAATCATATTCGACACGTTTACACCTTGGCTCGTGCTACAATTGATTTGAATAGAAAACTTTAGATAGTACCTTTTTCTTCTTATATTAATATATTTGAAATAATCTCAATTTTATTAATAAATTTAATCGAAGATGATTTTCATTTACTAAGGAGATTAAATAAAAATATACTTATTCTACTTCATTTAGAATTAAATAAATATGATTTTTCATACTGAAAGACCCAGACAGGATGTATGCTTTTTCCGAATGCGATAATAAAAAAAAACCAAGGTTCATATTAAATATCAGTAGAGGATTTGAGAAGGTAGTAAAATGACAATTGTCATCTTCTGACGAAGTTTTTCTTTTCAATTTTCCTCGAAAGAAATGAAATCAAGAGGTTGTACAAACAAGAATGACCTTTGAAAACCGAATTTTCTATTTATCATGATTGTCATGTTCTTCACCAGTTTCCTGAATTCATCATTGTGTCAAATATATTTTCGAAATTTTACTTTATAAACAAATTATATCAAAAAAAAGATTAGCAAAAAACGTCAAAAAAAATATCCGAAAATAATCTTTAAGATCTCTTATCTACTTACATATTGTACACTCGATTGATTTGAGAAGATTATAATCTGGATAGTCAAGAACAAGAAAAAAGAAAACGAAACTCTTGACTTGTCGTCGTAGTACGCACTTCACATGCAAGTTACATCAATCGGTTTTTTTGCATGTATGTGCATCAGACATGTGTAAAATGTATTCCGAGTATTCATTTTTCTTTTACATTAATTCAACTTGTATATTATAATAATAGCCAGTTAAAGCAATACGAAAGAAACAATATGAAAAGCTTTTCTTTTTTTCTTTCTTTTTTACTTTTTTTATTCTGTGATTAGAAAAAAAGAAAAAAACTTTTGTTCATGATAAATCAACAAGGACAAAACTTTTCTGAAAATGTTCTTCGCATTATTATCAACACTTATATTCACTTTCTCTCTATTTCTCATTTACTTCAGGCAAATTGTCCGATGAATGTAGATGGTGAGCACTTATGTTGTGAACAAGTACATGAAATACTTAACTGGAGGCCTTTTTGTTTCTCTCTCTCTCTCTCTCCCTTCTCACTACAACAACGAACGCCTGTCAGAATGTCTGTATTACTGTTGTTGTTGTTATTATTATTGTTATTGTTGATGCACACCATTTTTAGTTACTTGCCAATAGTGAAGTATGTTACTCTTTCAAATAGATGTAAAAATGTTCTTCGATGTTTTTTTTTTCTTTATTAAACTAAAATGTACAATTTTTAATGTACATGACATGATTTAAAACGGTTAAAATTACAAAAAAAAAAAATCAATACTTTGCTTCTTTTTTCTTCTTCTTCGTTTCTCAAGATACTTGAAAATATCGTCAAAGAAGAGATCAGTGAAAGAATTAATTTTTTTTCTCTCTTCTTACTGATCCCTAAAGGCTTCCGTATATGAAGAATAATGATATGACAAAGAGAAGTTGTTCGTTGTTGTTTTCTTTTCATTTGATGACAATTGTCACCTTTTGTGTAGTATCAAATTGAATTGAACAAAAGAAGATATTTTTTTTCAATCATATGTTGATCTTCTGTTAATTTGCTTTTAATAATTAAGATTATAATATAGATATTGTGAGAGGTTTTTACTATAAGTGTAGATTTTGACAGATGTTAAAAACACACATATATATATATCGATGCATGTCAACAACAAGTATCAATAAAAGTATTGGCAAATACTACTTCATTGAAGATGACTTATTCTGCTGTTTTTGAAGAGATTATGAATATATTGGAATTATAAATGCTCATGTTTGTTTTAGATCAGATTTGAAAATAGGTTGATGAAATGAAATAAAGAAATAAGATGATTCATTCGAAAATCTATTCAAATAATATATTTAATAATTTATAAAAGGACTTTTTAAATTTTTCCAATGTGAACTATATTTTATACAAAATTGATATATAAATTGTCGCTAATTTTTGTTTTTTTTTTGATTGAAGCTTAATTTTCTAAACAATTAATTTCAATTATAATTATTAAAACCAAAATAATCGTAAATTTTTGAATAATATATTTATCATTAATCTATAAATCACAAAGCATTATTATTATGTGCTACAAGAAAAAAAACCAAGTTTCTATCCGATTGACTTTATAATCAGACGCAGATAAAAATCAATTATTGTACCACATATTTATTAAGCTATAATTTATCTTGCTATATTGCAATAAAAAAATTAAATATTTTATTTCGATTTACTACGTATATATTAGTCTATTTAATGAATAAAATATAATTGCATGAATAATAGCTGACAGAAACGTGACGATACACTTAATATTCAACATTGAATTTGCATAATTTATAAAAAGCAAAAGAAAAAAAAAGAAAATATGAATTAATTTCGATCATATTTTATGAATTCTTACTCGGTCGATGTAATCATCGACAGGATAAGAAATTTTTCATAGTATTCAGTTGTATTTTTAAGAATAATTGAATAGACTAAATTTAATTTAAAATTTAAATTTTCATATCGATTTTTCGAAATCTTGCAAAATAAAAATTGCCTATAACATATAGTGATAGTGACATTTTGTTTTTTTGCTTACGTATTCTAATAATACACTTGATTAATAGACTGAATACCTACATATTTGCCCGTCACATACAGTAAATAGTAAAAAGGACATTTACGACTGATGTATATAATTAGTTTTTTGATTTTTGTCTATCAACATAAAAAAAAAAAAGATGTTAAAAGTCATCATTGACATTGAAATGAAAAAAGAACATTACAAGGTCTAAAAAAGCCACCATGTCTAAGAATGATATTTATAGAAGAAAAAAAAATTTCAATTGTCTTTTTTTTTCTTTTTATTTTTAAAAGAAATGTTCATAGTATAGGAGAAATCTTGGGCAAGTAACGATCTACATATAATTTTATCATATAATTAAATTTTTTTTTTTTTTTATTCTTGAACTTATTAATTATATTAGGAGTTATTAGTTTTTATAATTGCTAGTTCAATAAATGTAATTTATCAAAAAAAAAGGAAATCGAATTTTATCGTCAATTATTTTAAATAGAGAATTTAACATAGACTTTCTAATGATCATTTTTTAAAAACAAGTTTAAATACCATAAAATTCATCTCTTTATCATACATAAATTCTTTTCATATTATCATCAGACAAATATTAGTTTTTCCAATAGTAAGAGATGTCCCGAGCGGGAGGGGGGAGAGACCCCTCCCAACCTTGAAAAATGTTCGTTGTACTCCTACAGAGTTTCAATGTTTTATTGTTTTCTTTGTTCACCGATTCCCAAAAAAGAAAGCTCACCCCTTCTCAATCTTGACAACCTCGGGAAACTCTTACAAACAGATCTTGAATTC